CAACTGCCTGAAATAAAGGTGAGTTCCGCTCAAACCTCTCCAGTATGTTCAGTTAGTCATGATGGCTCTGTGTGCAAGTTTGATCCAGGACCATTGTCAGTGGGATCACAGTTTCTCTGGGTGTAGGTGAACTACAACTCCTGAAAATTAAGGTCAATCCCTCCCAAAATCTCCTAATATTCAAATTTGGACATATCAGGTCTGTGTGCCAAGTTTGGTCCAGATCCATTGTCCATTTGGGCTCTCAGTGCTCTCTGGATAAAGGTGAACTACAACTCCCAACCTGTAAGGTCAATCCCCTCCAAACCCCATCAGTGTTCAAAGTTGGGAATGTCAGGTATGTGCACCAAGTATTAGGGGTTTTTTTTTATCCCTTCCTGCTCTAGCAAGAGTCTTTTCTGAGGATCCATTAAGGGAACAGATACAGTTGATCTTTTTCAATCAGAATTGATTCAATTTGATACTACTTTAACAGCCATTACTCAAAACTATGAATTTATGGGATTTTTAAAAGGGGCTTTAACATTCTCCAAAGAGTGCTGGTTCCTCAGCAGGTTACAAATACCACGATTGCATGGCATCTAGCCGTGGCAGTTAAAGTGGTGTCCAAGCGCATTAATTCTACAGCTCACAAACACCGATGGAGAAGAGATTGCTCTTTGTCACAGTGTTGTTTCTTTTCTTTTTTACTTTGAAGGCAGTGAGAGTGAGGAAGGTGGGGGAAAACTGAGAAGCACGCACTCACTCGTTCTGCCTCTCCGCAGACAGAGAAAGTGGTAAAGAATCATTACCACAAAAGAATGGAGGAGGAAACAGCCCAGAGGAGAAAAGCAGGGGGGTTAAGAAAAAGGAAACTATTGAGAAAATGTTTCGATTTTGCTTTTAAAAATAAATATGAGACTAAGGCAACAGGTAGGTGCAGTTGCCCAAGGTAGCAGGGGGTGCTAATACGATGAAGACATGCTGGAAGAAGCGAAGACAACTAGCATTGAAGCAATGCTCCTACACCATCAACTCCGCTGGACTGGCCACATTGTCTAAATGCCTGATCACCATCTCCCAAAGCAGTTACTATACAGGAAATGTAATGTTGGTGGACAGGAAAAAAATAAAGATGGACTTAAAGCCACCCTTAAAAACTGTGGTCTAGACACTGAGAACTGGGAAGCCCTGGCATTTGACCACTTCAACTGGAGGTCAGCTGTGACCAGCAGTGCTGCAGAATTTGAAGAGGCATGAATGGAGGGTGAAAGAGAGAAATATGCTAATAGGAAAGTGCATGAAGCCAACCCTGACCCAGACCACTTTCCACCTAGAAACCAATGTCCTCGCTGCAGGAGAACATGCAGATCAAGAAGAGGGCTCCACAGCCACATATGGACCGACTGCCAAGACACTACACTTGGAGGACCATCATCCTTGAGCTATGAGGGATCGCCTAAGTAATACAACCCCATTCCTGCCCAAGGTGATGATGGTGGGTGTGATAGATTCCTCATGTAAAGCATGCTTGCATAATTTTTAAAAGATAGGTAAAGGTAAAGGTTTTCCCTGACATTAAGTCCAGTCTTGTCTGACTCTGGGGTTTGGTGTTCATCTCCATTTCTAAGCTGAAGAGCCGGCATTGCCCATAGACACCTCCAAGGTCATGTGGCCGGCATAACTGCATGAAGCGCCTAAAAAGATAGGAAATAATAATATTGCTGCCAGGAAGGTTTTATTTTGTGTGCAGAATTATACAGATCTGGATGAAGTTCTGTGCTCCTTGATAAAGTTATCCCAAAGGCACAAAGTCTTTTAGATCTCTGCCTCTGAAGGTTAGCGATTAGGATTGAGGTGCATCTTTGAAGCCTGAGGTCCAACCTCAGAACCTATATCAGAAACATTTGCAGGCAATTTGTCTCAGAAATTGGACATGTGATAACTTTGCCTGACCTTGATTTTGTTTGTTTCGGAAACCTGCACTGTATTTTTAAAACTTTAATTCTGCAATGCTAACATTTAGGGAACTGAAAGGAAGTTTAATGGGAGGCGGGTAGAGATTTATTATTTATACTCAGTTCCTCCTTCCAGTACCTACATCTGTCCAGAATTTAGAAATACGAAAGGATAAAAAGAAGGAAGGAAAGAAAGAGGGAAGAAAGAGAAATGGAGAGGAAGGATGAAACAGAGAAAACAGAGAAAAGAAAGTGCAAAAGCCAGGAAAGCAAGCCAAAGTGTACAAGTCAAATTAGATAGTTCACAGAAACACCAAATCCTCAGGGGAACAAGCAGGAGGGAAAGCCAAATGTCAAGTCCAAGGCCAATTACCAGTAATCCAAGCAACAAGGTTAAATCCACAAATCCAGATAAGCTGTCCGAGAGCAGTCCAATAATTCCAGGAGTGCATGATTGTTCAAGGGTCCGAGGTCTTGGTATGCATACTAAAGTTGCAGCCAGCAAGCAGGTAACACACTCCAGTCCCTTAAATTTAGTAACATTTAAGGGACTGCAATGAGTTACCTGCTTGCTGGCAGGTAATACCTGTTGCTGGCCCACTTCTCAACAAGTTTTGCTGATCTTTCTCTCCTAACTTCCACAAAGGCAGGAACAGTTAACTCTTCCTCAGCTTGCTCAATCTAAGCCTCTTGTGTTTGGCTAGCAGGCTGAATAGTCATACCTTCTGACTGTGGTTGAGGGAGTTGCCACAATCGGGTGGTAAGCTCTATGTAATTCTATAGCAGAGCCACCAGTAAGCAAATCCTCATCCATGCTATCCATGACAGAAAGCAGGAGGGAAGGAAGAATAGAAAACTAGCAGAGGGAGGGAGGGAGGGGGGAAGAAAGAAAGAGTAGAAAATGAATGGAGAGGGAGGGAAGTGAAGAAAGAAGGAAGGGTTGTAACTAGGTGTTGGTAACATATTCCTTGTGGCAATCTGCAAAGGTGAGCCCAAAAAAGACAGATCCTTCTTCTCCTCTTTCCTTTCTTTTTCCTCTCCCTCTCTCTTTTCTCTCCCCCACACCCAGACACTTTCCCTTTTCCACACTTTGAAGTCTCTCCTTGGATGCTAGTGCTGTTTGTTTAGAACAAGGATACCCAAACTAAAGTCCATGGGCCAGATGTGGCTCTCCAAAGCTTCAAACTACAGGAAAGGAGATTCCACCTGAACATTAGGAAGAACTTCCTGACTGTGAGAGCAGTTCAGCAGTGGAACTCTCTTCCCTGGAGTGTGGTGGAGGCTCCTTCCTTGGAGGCTTTTAAACAGAGGCTGGATGGCCATTTGTGGGGGATGCTTTGAATGCGATTTTCCTGCTTCTTGACAGGGGGTTGGACTGGATGGCCCACGAGGTCTCTTCCAACTCTATGATTCTATGATTTATCACACACACACCCTCGCCTAAACTGTAGGCTTAGATTCACCCTAAGTCTTAAATGACTTGAAGGCACACAACAAAGACAATTCTAATTAATTGTTGAAGGCTTTTATGGCCAGAGTCACTAGATTGCTATAGGTTACTTCTAGAACATGGCCACACAGGCCGAAAAACCTACAACAACCCAGTTCTAATTAACATGATTACCTCATTAGCCAAAAGCAGGCTCATGCTTCCCATTGAAATACTCATAGGTTTATGTTGGTTAAAATGGTTCTTCATGTTAAATATTGTATTGTTCTTTCAGTTCTTTTTCACTACAAAGAAGGTATGTATAGTGGTTTTAGATTGAGGGGCTTCAGCCCCCCCCCCCAAATTCTCATGGTGGTTCGCAAAAAGGTCTTACTGATATGGATAAACTTATGTTTATTCATATCATGATCTGATAGCCATACTCAATATATCCCATATGCATGGGGGTATTGGGGTAAAATACAAAAGGTTTGCTAGGGTAGACCCTCTTTCACTCAAACCCAGCCCCCCCCCGAAACAAACTCAGCCCCCCCCCCCCCCCGAATCGAAATCCTGGCTACGGGCCTGCCTCGGAGGGCCATATCTGGTCCATGAGCTATAGTTTCAGGATCCCTGGTCTAACCTTTCGACTTTAACTCAACCTTTGTATGGTCTCTTTTGTGGATTATAGCTTCTGTAGGCCTTCCCACAGTGGGTGGTTTCCAGGAAATACTATGTAAATCATATCTGGTTTCGAGACCTGTGCTTTTTCTTATGATTGTAGTGACGTTCTCTATACTCAAACATTTACTAATTTGGTAAAACGTCTACACTGTAAGCATTGTAAATTATCAGCTGGAAATTTTCTAGTTGTAGTTTAAAAATTCATGTTAGAACTCCATCTAATACTATTATTTGCCTGAAAGAGTTAAAGTTATTGACTTTTCGTTGCTGAGAATTCAACCTCATTTTTTTCCTCTACTTCCTGATCCATCATGGAAAAAAGGTAAGATTAAAATGTTATTATTTTTCAATATATATTTATTAATGCTCATGAGGGAAGAGGAAATTATGTTGTGTGCTTGTTTTCATGACTAGAGGATATGGAGCTGGGAATATATATTTTTTAAAAACTTGATTTCCACAGAAATTTCCTAAGCCATCATAGTTTCAAACCAATTTTGACCATATACTGGAAATAAAGCCAAAAGTGGTGGTGAGACTGAAGAATAAAAGAGACAGAGGAAAGTTGAGAAATTCAAATATCAACATTGTTAGGGGCTCACATTGCCAAAGTATTTATGAGAAGGCAGTAATGTTTATTATGCCCTTTATGCCCATTTTACACAGGAATGAAGGTGGTGTCGATTTTTACATGAAATGGGATGTTCAGATAAGAATATTATCATACTGTCTTCACCAACCTCACTGTATGGCACCCCGTCACTTACAGCATTTTTCCCAGCCTGGCTGAAATTCAGTAGGTTCAGTAGAAAATGAGCTAAGGAGCAATAGAAGGAGGCAAGGGAAGATACCAGAGAGTCCAGGACACTATCTGAGTGCACAGCTGCGTGAATGAGTTTGCGGTACAAAAAGCTTCACCCAGAAGCAACTTGGCAAAAGTAATTCTGAAGCTGTTTTCTAGCACAAAAGAACCACTTCTCTCCATCGAGGTGCCTATTGCTGTTACTTCTTCTTGCTTTGATTTCAAACAGTGAAGGTCAGACGAGCAAAATAGTCCTGTCCCTTACACCATCAGAGAGAGCTGCTCTCAAGGAAGGAATAAACTTCTTAAGGAACAAAGCAGATGGAAAGAGTTTCATCTTATACAAGGACGGAGACACTGTACGAGCATGCCAGAACACATGCAAACACCAGGGAGGGGTGTTTATTGCAGATATTGAAGATCTAACAGGAAAGTATGTCTCTCCTTCAACTTTTTTTCCCCATTTTTCCATTTGAAATAGTTGCACTCAATAAAAGAAAAAGCATGGAAGTAAGTAAGAAGGTAGTCAGAGAAATATTGAGTGGGGTTTAAGCTTGTTGGTTATATCTGAGTTTTGCTGTGGTTATTGATTTCAAAATGTCCCAATTTCTCTCTCTTCTTCTCTCAATTTTCCCTACCCCAGCTTACTTCCTTTCATGCAAAGAGTTCAAAGAGTAACAGTAGCTTGAATTCAATTACTTCATTAGCAGAAAGGGGCATCTGTAGACTCAGGTAAAAGGAAACTGCTGCAACTTCTCCTGTCTTGCCACCTTGCTTTGCCACCTTGACCATATGCCAGTGTTGCTTGGCTACATTTGTACCATCTTTATCTGTGAAATGTTGGAGGGTATGATCTCCACATACAGTGTTCCCACGCTGCTTTGTGGTTCGCTTCATATGGACTCACTATTTCGCAGGTTTTCAAAAAAAAAAAATTAAATACAAGTAGCGAGGGAACACTGTATATCCATTATCAAAGTGTGTTGTTTCTCCAGCATAGATGCTGCCACAGGCTTGAGTTGCAGAGTTACTCACACACAGGCATGTGTGTGGTGGGCAAAGAGCCCGGAGAGGGTTGCCAAGGCAGCTTCTGCCAGGGTTTCTTTCTCGGGTGACCCGGTGAGAGTCCCATGCCAGTGGGGAAGCAGGCAGGGAGAGAGAAAGGTGGCTCCAGCAAGTGGAAAGGGAGAGGGAGAGAGGAAGGGAGAGGGAAAGAGGAGAGAAAGAGAGAAAAAGAGGAGGGGGAGAGAGGAGTGGACAGAGCTATACTGTACATATACAGTATAGCGCCCCTACATCACGGTCTTTCACTTATCGTGGGTGGTCCTGGAACGTAACCCCCGTGATAAGTGAGGGAACACTGTAATGTTGCTATCTATGGACTTATTCACAGATGGTTCCAAGGTAGAGAAGTACTACATATATCAGGGGTCCCCAAACTAAGGTCTGGGGGCGGAAACGGCCCTCCAAGGTCATTTACCTGACCCTCGCTCAGGGTCAACCTAAGTCTGAAATGACTTGAAAATACACAACAAGAATCCTATCTCATCAGCCAAAAGCAGGCTCACACTTACCATTTAAATATTAATAAGTCTACGTTTGTTAAAATTGTACTTCATTTTAATTATTGGATTGTTTTAAAGTGTTTTTTGCACTACAAATAATATATGTGCAGTGTGCATAGGAATTCATTCATATTTATTTTCAAATTATAATCCAGCCCTCCAACAGTTTGAGGGACTGTGACCTGGCCCTCTGTTTAAAAAGTTTGAGGGCCACTGACATATATGGTATAGAGATACAAATTTATTTCTGCAATTTTTCTTCCTCCTTGCCCCCTCTCCTTGCCTTCTTTCTTCTTTTTACACCACTCTCTTAGATTGCTTGTAATCTATATACATATATAACAGATATACTAGTATACTTTATGTATAATATCATGCTTAGAGTAATATTTTCAGTGTCTGCAAAATGCTGCTCGTTTTACTGGAGGAAAGAAAGAAAGAAAGAAAGAAAGAAAGAAATCCAAAGGTCCCTGAAATTCCTGGGGGTTTGCCACGATTAAGATTTTAGGAAAGTCCACAACTGGTTAAGCTGGAAAAGGCAGGAGCCTAATGTTTCCTTCTCATTTGCACATTGCTGCATCAATAAATTTCTGAATTTCCAACTCTGTTTCCTGGGCATACTGCTTTACTACATGCCTCATGCTCTGAGCTTCCTTTCTACCCCCTGGGCAGTCTAACCCTCTTTCTTAAAACTGTGGTAAACTTTGCATGGCTTTCTCAAGTTGACGCGCTATCTTTGTAATACGTACTAAATACCAATGATATTTTACCCTAACAATTCATATTCAAAACTTAGTTTGGCTCTAGTTGTTTGCATTCTCTTTTAACCCAGATGTGTACGTTGTACTAAACATAACTGGCGGCTGGATATGAGCACAATGAAATATGTTAACCCTCCAGATAGCTTCAGTCAAGATGAATTAGGTAAAATAATATCTATTACAGATTTTGAAAGGATATTAATTGACAAAAGTGCATATCTTATTAGGTTATTGCTCTTATATCATGAAACATGGGAGTCTTCCACAAAAGGATTTAACTATAAGGTCAGCCTTAGAATTGACCTTATAGTTAAAAGCCGTGGAATGCAGGAGAGCAATCTGCATGTGTTTTATTTGCAATGTGTCATACCTTGTTAATCGCAATGTGAATTCATTTTCAGAAAGAAAGGAAAAAAATATACAACACCATAAGATACAAAAAAGAAAAGACACACACAAATCAAGCAAAACGTAACATAACATGGAAATTGTTTTTAGTGTTTCTCTTTCTTGGAAATGCCACAGGGAAGCAGTGAAGTTCAAAGCCAAGAAAACAATAGGAGCTCGGATAAAAAAAATTCCATTGAACCTGCTCTAAAAATCTCCAGTTGCAAAGTGTTGACACAAATGCTATATGGAGCAGAAATCCGAGATCTAGATAATAATACTTGTAAAACCTTGGAAATGTCACAGAACAAGTTCCTCTTAAAACTTTATTCTCTCCCACAGCACTTCTGCATACCAAAACTGGATGGCCATCAGTCAAGACAAAAGTAGATTGTGCCCAATTAAGATATTTTAAACTAGTGTTTCTCAACCTTCCTAATGCCATAACCCCTTAATACAGTTCCTCATGTTGTGGTGACCCCCCACCATAAAATTATTTTTGTTGCAATTTCATAACTGTAGTTTTGCTACTATTATAAATTGTAATGTAAATATCTGATATGAGGGATATATTTTCATTCACTGGATCAAATTTGGCACAAATACGCAATATCCCCAAATTTGAATACTGATGGGGTCGGAGGGAAGATTGATTTTGTCATTTGGGAGTTTTAGTTGCTGGATTTATAGTTAACTTACAATTGGCACACAGAATTCCCACGACCAACAGAAAATACTAGAAGGGTTTGGTGGGCATTGACCTTGGGTTTTGGAGGTGTAGTTCACTTGCATCCAGAGAGCACTGTGGACTCAAACAATGATAAATCTGGATCAAACTTGAATACCAAATGAGAACACTGATGGAGTTTGGGGAAAATAAAGCTTAACATTTGGGAGTTGTAGTTCCTGGGATTTGTAGTTCAGCTACAATTGTTAGTGAACCCCAATGATAGAATTGGGTTAGACTTCCCCTGCAGAACCCCCATGCCTTGAAGGCACTTGCTGGCACGAGCCTCCCTCCAGGCTCACATGCTCTCCCTTGGCCACACATGCACAGCATGCTGCCATGAGCCAAGCATGCCCTCTCTCCCCTTCCCAATTGGAGTCTCAGAAACAGCCCTCCCCTTGGCTGAGAGGCTGGTTGAGAGGCCGGCTAATCACAGCAGAGAAGGGCTTTGGGTGGGATGATTTGCCGTCTGTTTCCAGAAAAGGAAGAGAAGGACAGGCGGAGAGATCTTTAGCCTTCTCTGCCAAAGGGGTTCCTAAGACCATCAGAAATATATGTTTTCAGATGGTCTATGACAACCCCTTTGAAACCCCCTCTCAACCCCCATCCTCAGGGGTCCCGAACCCTAGGTTGAAAACACTGCTTTAAAAGAATTGCCACTCTGCCAAGTAAATGCCTTCCAACATAGTGTTACTTGGAATTAAATATCCATCAACATTGGGAAATAAGTTTAGAAAATCCCCAACACAGCTACAACCTCTCTGTGTTGAATTCTGCCTTGGACATGGATAAGCGGCTGGCTTGGACTGATTCAAGAAAGACTCTGCAATCAATCAGGAACACAACATTCTCCCCATGGTTCCCCTTGTTGAAATCTGAACATTATAGAGCCAGATACCTGACTATATTTAAGTCATCCTCCTTAAGAATTGCCTTCACTGAACTGTGATGCCAAGTAATGCCCACCGCAGTGTTAGATGGTTGTTACCAATAACATGTCATTGGAAAACAGACTTTGCATCTGTAGCCAGTGTCAGGTGTAAGACATTGTGCACTACATTCTAAACTGCCCTTTGTATAGTGACGCAAGAGAAAGATATTTGAAATCCCTGCTGATAAAAGACTATGGCTACTCTCACGTAGAAATGGTTTGGTTTTTGCTAAGCGACTCAAATGATTATATAACATATCAAGTGGTCCTCTTTACTTTTTATGAAAAAAGGATGAGAAAGAGAGAGCTAGATACAATTGCCATCTACTGCTATGGAGACTCAAAGGGCTAATTTGACCCTCCCGCAGTAACTATAGATAATTCACATTATTTTTTGCTCTTTGTGTGAGCATAAAGTTCACCTGTGTTTGTTATCTTTTGCTTCTTGTTTGCTTTGAGGGTACTATTCTGTGCACCCTGCACCTCTTTGTCATGTCCTTGGGCTAATACAATAAACTAACACAATCCAATTAAACCATAAATACAAAGACACTACTTCCTTCCCTCCCTTTGAGGTAACAGTTCTTTCTAGGTCTTCTTGTGTTCCATTTGATATAAAGGGAAACTTAAATAGCCAATGCTTATTTTTGTTTATCAAGACTACCCATTTTTTAAAATAATTATCTATTTTCTCCCACCCTTTTCACACCTTGCTTAGAGAGCTTCCACCATATTATTCCAGTGAATTTGTCCATTGTATGGCTTCTCTTAATTTCATAGATGGAAGGTACTTAGTAATTTTCCACTTTTTTGCCAATACTATCCTTGCAGTTGTAATCATATGCATAATTATTCTCCTTGTGGGTTTATTGATTTGTACATCTATCATGTTGAGAAGATACAGCTAATTCTACTTGTAAAATACTATTAATTGTATTATGTATCTTCTTCCAATAGTTCTTAACTCCTTTACAGTTCCATAACATATGATAGAGTGTACCTTTCTCTTTCTCACATTCCCAGAAAAAGTATTTCCTGGTTTTAGCTAGTATCTGTTGGGGTTAAATACCATTAATAGTGGACTGTATAACAACATTCTTTTAAGATTGCTAGAACATGTAAAACTCGCCATGTCTTTCCAATCTCTTTCCTATTGGTTAATAATAATAATATTAGTTTGTTTTTATCCCGCCCTATCTTCTAAGGGGGATTCAGGGCAGTTTACAATAACAACAAGAAAAAGACCAACATTTAATGCCAGCAATTCAATGTCAATGTCAATTACCTTTCCAACATTTTTTTTTTTGCCCAGGTCAGCATATATTCTTTCAATGATTCTATTTCTTGTTCTTTCTGTATTAAACATTTATGTATTTTGGAAATAGTCATTGTCCCCTTATCACCAATCAATTTATCCCAATCCATTTTTACCAATTATATTCCTTCTTGTTTGTTTACTCTTCCTCTTGAAATGTTCTGTTAGCCTCATATATAAAAACCACAGCACTTTAACCCTTTCTTTTTGTAATTCCCCTCTAGTTTTTAATCTTAGGAATCATTTGTCTTTTATTAATATATCTTTACTTTATATCTCAACCATCCTTTGAAATATTACGATTCGATTCTTGTTAATTCGATTCATTTAATCCAAAATCTTGTTTTGACTTTTCCCCAAATTCTATATAGTGCTCTTCTAATACTATGGAATATGACAACAGATTTGTTTATTAGTCATGTTGGTTCACAACAATTCCCTGGTTCCATGATACTAAAGACATAAATATGGATATTGCCCAATGGCAGATTTTAAGAAAAATCATACAGTCTATGTACTTGTAAATGCCAAATGATTTACTATACATTTTGTGCAGCATGGACATTTTATATCGGTGTAAGCAGGCACAAGTAATTGTTTAACTTCCTCAATTGCCATTGAATAATTTGCCAATTATTTACTTTGTTGGTTGGTATGCACCTGCAATTGTATGGCAGGGATAGTGCAACGTGGCACTGCAATGCCTGTCACAAGAACAGAAGGGAGGAGGGATCTTTAGAAGGTCATAAAATGAAGAGGTCCAATAATAATAATCATAATCATAATCATAATAATTTTATTTTTATACCCCGCCTCCATCTCCCCCAAGGGATTTGGGGCAGCTTACACATGGGACAAAATGTCCACAGAACATCAAAGCAAAAACACCAAAGCAAAAAACATCAAAGCAAAAACAATCAATTAAAAACAAAAATACAATTCAAATAAAACATAGCAAAACATCAAATGCTGAAGACACTAAAATGTGTACCACAGGTTAAAGATGTTACAATATAAATATCACTACCACCATCATTGTCTAATAATAATAATAAAAAATAAAAACCAAGTTAAACCGCAGGTATAAAAGTCTAGCAAAACAGATGTTAATACTCAAACACCAAAGGCTTAACCTTCTGATAAAACATATTTATATTGCAAGTGCAATTAAATCATCAAAATAAAATAAAATAAATAGTATGTGGGTCGTAAGCACCAACTGGCTAGTTTCCATTGGTTTGTGTGCATCCAGTCCATTAACATCAAACTATAATTTAGGATTATCACATTATAGGTATGGTAAACAGTTGTCTTGGGTTCATTTATGTTTAAGCTTCCTTTATCATACAATAAGGATATGGATTTGAATGCTATCTTATTTATATTGGCTGTTTTAACTTGTGTAACATATTTTATTGTGGTTGATGATTTTTTTTACTTCTGATTTATACAGGCAATGAATGTTTATTATGCTGGAAGCCGCCCTGAGTCCCCTTGGGGAGATAGGGCGGGCTACAAATAAAGTTACTATTGAAGTTATTATTACAATGATGTAACTTTCTCTTTGTGTGCATTGCATTTCCATCATTATTAAATCCTATCTTTTCATTGTTAGGAAAAATATATCAATGACTCAGATATCAACAATTTTTCATTTGGTGCAATCATTACATTCCACTGCACTTCTGATGTTCTTGGAGTTGTATGATCTGAGTTGATATGGTTCTCATTTTCTTCTTTCCCTAATAGGATGGAGTCAATTTCTTTTATTCTTGTCTATGTTTTTTTGTGCTGCTAGGGAGGCATTGTAATTATGGCAATGTCCTCCATGTATCAGAAGCATTGAAGCTGCACAAATGCCAAATTGGACCTTAAAAATAATTAAACCGCATTCATGTGCTATGTAGCACAGACACAGGTAGGAAGATGAGGTCAGGAAAAGCAGTCCTGAAGACTGATTGAGGGAAAGCGCATTACCAAAACAGTACTATAGCGCTATTGGAGAGCAGATGGGAAGGCGATTGTTTCCATACTTGTATATTTCCATTTGCATTTTTAGCAGCTGGATCACAACTTAAGTGATTGTAAGAAATACAATCACCATGTTTACTTTCTTACTTTTTCACGTTCCCTTCCAGTTGTTGAGACAGACAAAAATAATGGATTGGTAGTTATTGAGCTGCATCCTCCAAATCCATGGGATGCAGACCCCAGGCAGGCTGAAGAGCTGGGTTTTGGAGAGGTACAGGTAAATAAAAGGGTTGTTTTTTTTGTCAACATGGTTTTAGTGTAATGTCCCTATCAACCCTAAAGCCAAGAAGAAAACATTCATAGGGGAACAGTTTCAAAGAACACACATTGTTTATTATGTCCAGTAAATATCAGACTTATAGTACCTTGTGTCAATGCACGCTAACACTGCTTTCTCCACTGAGTCTATCTCTATTTCAGCTGCCAAGTTCCACCCCTTTGATATTGATTTTAGTGCAGTAGATTAGATTATTATGTGACTACTGTTTAATACAGTGATCTTGCACAACAGCAAACTATTTTATTTTTATTGTAAGCTACAGTTAATTTTCAATGTCCCATCACTTTTTGAAAAAACTCTTTAGTTAACTTTTCTCAAAAAGAGGATCCAGACATCTGCAACTATTGTAGCCTTATATAACTGATTCAGTTTCTTACAGTATTTCTGACTATTGTGTCTTTTGCTAGATTATGGATGGTCTGTTTATGATTAAAATGTGAGGAAATACATTTCAAACATAGAAAAATATTTTATGCAATACTTTAGTATAGCTGAAAATAGAAAGAAAACAGTTGGAATATTTTGGGTTCAAAGTGGGTAACATATATGAGAGTTTTATACCTATCGAGAATGATTAACATTATCTAGTTGTTCGACATTCTGTTATCTCAATTCCTCTTTATTTGATGGCAGCCAAGAAAGCTTGTCCTTCAACACTGTGGATTTTTGTGGGAGTGCCCTTTAGTTTTAAGAGGAGCAGCTTGATAAGAATTTCTATAATACAACAACTAGAACACTGAAAATCAATATTATCCTGTCATGAAGAGAGGGCAAAGGCTAGTTGTTCGACATTCTGTTATCTCAATTCCTCTTCATTTGATGGCAGCCAAGAAAGCTTGTCCTTCAACACTGTGGTTTTTTTGTGGGAGTGCCTCTTTAGTTTTAAAAGGAGCACCTTCTCCTTTTAAAACTTATAGAAAAAGATTTTCTATAATACAGTAACTAGAATGCTGTAAAACTAAATTATCCTGTCATGAAGAGAGGGCAAAATCCTCCTGACATCCTTGAAGAAGGATTTAGACCAGTAGTTCCCAACCTTTTTAACCAGGGACCACTTGACCAGGGAACACTCTAACCAGAGACTACACTTCAACATTAGTACTAAAAGGGTTACAAAATTTTTTTTGGTCCACTTTAGATTCGGTTTGGTTATTTGGGGTGCTCATCCAGAAATTTGCATTGGATAGATTACATCAGCTCTAGTTTTTGATACAGAACACATGGCATCCAGTAGTCGCCATCAGCTCACCCACAGAACACTAATAAGCCTCAGCACTATAAGAGGGTTTTGCGAGACCAGTCGTTTTCGATGCAACTGTGTCATAATGGCACGGCCATGGACCATATTTTAGTTCTTGTGGACCACTGGTGATCCACGGACCACAGGTTGGGAACCACTGATTTAGATCCAAAAGAGATCTCTAAGAGACAACACTATTGACCTTATCAGAAAGGCCATTTCACATGGCTTCTGGCGAGGAAAAAAGGAACAGAGGGGAAGAATCTGTTGCCCTGCATACAGCTCTCTCTAGCAATGCTTTCCTTGTGCTGGCTCAAACTCATGTTGGGGTGAAAGTGTACAGCAATGCTTTGGCCCTGGTTGGGGGTGGGGACTATGGCGGAAGTCACATGATGTTGTGTGATGTCTGGTATCAGCCTCCATCCCCCACACAGGGTGAAAGCATCCCAGGAAGTTGATTTCAACCCATCTGATGAGGTCATTAGTAACAAAATGTGAACATTTTTCTCTTCCTAGTTTGAAAGTGCTATTTTCTATTTGACTGTGTGGTTCATACTTCGCAAGTAATTGTTATAGCCCTGAAACTTCGTTTTTGTGGCTGCCACAAACTATGTTGAATTGGTTGAGATTCTATGGGATATTATTGAAAAACTATAGCAAATGTACTGCAGGATGTCCAGCAAACACAAACATTTTGCAGTTTAATAAACCTTTTCCATGTTTTTATAATAAGAACCAATTAGGAAATGGCATTTAAAACTCAGGAACAGAAATCATGTTACATAGTGTAATCAATTAGTTATTTAAGTTCTTGGTAGCCATCTATTCATTGCTTCCTACTGATTATCATGATGCCTTGATACATTTAAGAGAATGCCTAAACTGTAGAATTAATGCAGTTTGACACGACTTTGACTGCCATGGCTTAATTGCTATGGAATAATGACTGTTGTCATGTCAAAGAGGGCTGCAGTCACAACAAACTACAGATCCCAAGATTCCATAGCATTGAGCCATCACAGTTTAAGTGGTGTCAAACTGCATGAATTCTACAAACCGCATAAACTCTAGGTTTTGCAGTAAATAGCTTGACAACACAGATCATCTTGTTTCTTGGTCCCCCCCCCCCCCCTTTCTGCTAGGTAAACTATCTAACTCATGCATGTATGGAGCTTGTACTTGGAGACAAAATATTTATATTTGACCCATGGCTAATGGGTCCAGCCTTTGCACGTGGCTGGTGGTTACTTCATGAACCACCCTGTGACTGGATGGAAAGGCTTTGTCGTGCTGATCTCATCTACATCAGCCACATGCATTCTGATCATCTCAGGTATCTGTGTATACAACAAAATTAAAGACAAAGGTTTATGCCAAGAGCAAAAGTCCATGTGATGGCCATGGGAAATATTCCAAAATCTATGCCCCGGAGTGTGGTGGAGGCTCCTTCTTTGGAAACTTTTAAACAGAGGCTGGATGGCTATCTGTCAGGGGTGATTTGAATGCAATATTCCTGCTTCTTGGCAGGGGGTTGGACTGGATGGCCCATGAGGTCTCTTCCAACTCTTTGATTCTATGATTCTATGATTCTATGCTAGTTAATAAATTTTCTAGATAAATAAAAATGTAGTGTGTACATTTCTAAGCTTTTTTAGAATTCATCAGGCTAGATGGTGAACAAAACGAAAGTTGTAAACTGTTACAAAAAACCGTGCTGTGCTGTTCTTAACTATGTTTGCCGGTATAATCTGAAAATAAATCATTGAAGAATAACACCTAAAGTACAAGCCTCAATGATACTCTGTTTACTCCCTCCGGAGTTTACTCGTTCAGAGTTTTAATTTCACTCTTCCGTATGATATAATAAATGACTGTTAGGTATAAAAAGGATATAAATGACATTTCTGAAACAGTAAACTTATTTAGGAATTTATTGAGACTAACACGCTTATGTGAAGATACCGTAAAATCCTGAGGAAGGGAAAGTCCCCCGAAATGAGCTATTTTTTAACCCGGGGACCCTTGTCGACATTATTTTACTTTCCCAAGGACAGTTCAAGTGTTTAGTTTATTGCTTTTTTCAATATTTAGTTTATTGCTTTTTTCAATATTTAGTTTATTGCTTTTTTCAATATTTACCAACTGTTTAAAAGATTATACAGAAGAGTGAAGATAAAAACTCAGTCTGCACAAGCAACTTCCACAGTGAGGAAAAAAAGTTTCATTGGGACTTGTACCTTGTGGATGTTATTTTCTAAAGGACATTTCAAGTGTTCAGTTTGTTGTTTCAGATGGCCAAATCTCTCACACCAGGAGCGACTTGCAGTTTCTCAAGTCGTTCCTGACACACAGGGGTGGCTCAACCCATTACACAAAGTAAGCATTTGCAGTATAGTTGATTTTGCCCAGGGGCACTATTAAGGTGCTCTTGGGGGAAAATAGACCTGACATATGCGAGTTGTAGTTACTGGGATGTATAGTTCACCTACAATCAAAGAGCACTCTGAACTCCACCAATGATGGAATTGAACCAAATATGGCACACAGAACTCCCACGACGAACAGAAAATATATATCAGTGATTGGTTGGGGGGGGGGGGCAAATACTGTTTACTTACCTTTGAAAATTACCTAGGGCTGCCTCTGTTGACACCCACACACATACACAAACTGTACTAGGTGTAATATACCCATATGAGTCACTTGACTTGAGAATGAGGCTATAATCTAGCTCTACATTTTAATTTTTACCTTATTCCTGCTCTCCAGTTACCCTACACTGAAGAAACTAGCCGAACAAAGACCAGATGTGCCAATTTATGTTGGAAATACAGAACGACCTGTTTTCTGGTACCTTGACCAGAGTGGTGTTAAGCTGACCCAAATAAATATTGTTCCTTTTGGAGTTTGGCAACAAGTGGACCAGAACCTTAGATTTATGATACTGATGGATGGTGTTCATCCAGAGATGGATACTTGCATAATTGTTGAATATAAAGGTATAGTAATTTAACTGTATTACAAGTTTCATAACCAGTGTATTTGTGATCACCTTTTTGCTTTTCATGTTTTTTTCCTGTTTAGAGCTTTAATTTAATTTGCTGTTATAGTGCCAATGTTGTGATCCTTAAAGGAAAAAACATGCCAATTTAAATTCACTAAGTTTTAAAATTGTATTTGGGTTTGAAATTAACTTTTTCTAGTTTTGAAGATTTAATACAGGCTGAAATAATGACACCTTTTGCTTTCCAATAGCTTAATAGATGCAAACTTTATTTCACACACAAAATTATTTAAAATATTGTGTAAAATAATCTTCTGGTTAGGTCTGTAAGGGATACATAACAAATAAATGACCTTTTTTAAAGACATGGGTTCAATCTCCAAAATATTTCAATATGTATAGGTTTTAAAATCCCAAACAGTTCTGGTCACAAGCATTTCAGATGAAGCATACCCAAGCTGTACCTTGGTTGATTGGCATAGCAACAATGCCATCTACCATATGAGTGTGTGTTTGCACATTGAGATCAATGAAAGTTCACATTTCCATTTTTGTGAACCCTACCTTTGTCTTGATCCTGTACTTCTATGATTAATTCAGTGATGACTGTACCGATCTGCTTTATAACTAGCTTTGATGTATCACCACTTTTATGGCCTATCATTATCAGTAGTAGAGATAGCTGACGTGGTGCTTCTACATCTTGGCTGGCAGGCAACTTTGGTTTGGGATTTCTATAAGGGCATATTGCTATCTCTGCTCCTGAATATCTGTTATTCTCATAAATCTCTAGTGAAACTCTTGAATTTGTCAGGGTGCGTTGGTTATTCAAAATGTTGCCTTATGAAGCAGTCTGCTCCCTTGAGTATTGAGCTTGATGGGATTGTGAACTACTGACTCACCTTACATCCTGCAGGTATTTGTGCCAGGATCTGGTCCTCTTCCCCTTCTATGGGATTATATAATAATAATAATAATAATAATAATAATAATAATAATAATAATAATAATAATAATAATAATAAACATCGTCATCATCATCATCATCATCATCATCATCATCATCATCGAGGAAACTGGCGAAAGAAGGCTCTCCATGGGCAGTGAGAGCCAAATTGACAAAGAAAAAACATGGCTGTGGCTCACAAATGGAACTCTGAAAAAGGAGACGGAGGGCCTGATTCTGGCAGCCCAAGAATAAGCCATTAGAACAAATGCCATCAAAGCCAGGATTGAAAAGTCAAGGACAGATCCCAAGTATAGGCTCTGCAAGGAAGCAGATGAAACTATAGATCATATCCTCAGCTGCTGCAAGAAATCATGCAGACAGACTTCAAGCAGATGCATAACACCATTGCTCGGATGATTCATTGGAACTTGTGCCACAAATACCATCTGCTCACGACAAAGAACTGGTGGGATCACAAGCTGGAAAAAGTTACAGAGAATGAACATGTCAAATTCCTCTGGGACTTCTGAATTCAAACAGACAGAGTTTTGGAGCACAATACTCCTGACCTCACAATCGTGTTGAAAAATAAAGTATGGATCATCGATGTTGCAATCCCCAGTGACAGCAGGATTGAAGGGAAACAACTGGAAAAGCTGACACAATATGAGGATTTAATGATTGAACTGCAAAGACTCTGGCACAAGCCAGTCAAGATGGTCCCACCTGCCAGCTGCAGAAGGCCACCTTACTGGGATCTGGTCACATTATTTGCCGATACATCACACAGTCCTAGACACTTGGGAAGTGTCCAACATGTGATCCACTACAACAGCCAGCAGAATGTCTGCTGTGGACTCATCTTGTTGTTTTTCAAATTATTATTATTATTATTATTATTATTATTATTATTATTATGTCAGGAGCAACTTGAGAAAACTGCAAGTCGCTTCTGGTGTGAGAAAATTGGCCATCTGAAAGGATGTTTCCCAGGGGATGCCCTGATGTTTTGATGTTTTACCATCCCTGTGGGAGGCTTCTTTCATGTCCCTGCATGGGGAGCTGGAGCTGACAGAGGGAGGTCATCCACACTCTCCCTGGATTCGAAACTCCTACCTGTCGATCTTCAGTCCTGCCAGCACAAGGGTTTAACCCATTGCACCACTGGGGGCTCCTTATTATTATTATTATTATTATTACTCTCATTCTGGTTCATCCTGTCAGAAATGTGATAGCAAGCAATAAGCTAGGATGGCCCTGTCATTCCAGTAATGGGCCCAGTATAATGACATTTGAAATTTTAATTATGAATGTATTTGTCTAAAGGGCACAAAATCCTAAATACAGTGGACTGCACCAGGCCAAATGGTGGAAAGCTTCCTGAGAAAGTTGACCTTATGATGAGTGACTTTGCAGGAGGAGCCTCAGGATTCCCAATGACGTTCAGCGGAGGAAAATTCACTGGTAATGAAACAAGGGCCTAATTTAGAGAATGTGTTGTACCAGAATATAATGAATCCTAGTCAGCTAGAATCTTTATTTCAAGCAAACATGCCTATTTTCGAAAGACAAAGACTGATAACACAACTACACCGACTCCACTCAATGGTTAGTCACTTGAGAGGCTACACTGTCACCTACGTTGTATCACTGTGTTTAGTTTTTTCTTGTCTTTCTCCCTATTTAGTTTCAATACTGACAACTCCTTTTTCTTTTCAGAGGTATGGAAAGCCCAGTTTATTAAGACTGAAAGGAGGAAATTGCTGAATTACAAGGCCCAGCTGGTTACCGATTTAAAGCCAAAAATCTATTGTCCTTTTGCAGGATATTTTGTTGAAGCTCATCCTTCTGACAGGTATTGTCTTTAAGTTTGGCACAAAGGTCAGAGAAATGATTGACTGTGAGCTCTCTGTATCAACAAAATGCAAAGAACGGTTTCCAGATCAGAAGGAATTTTATTTCATTATAAGTAACTAAATGTTTTATACTGGTAGATGATGATGATGAGGAGGAGGAGGAGGACTATTGTATTTGAGCAGAAAAGATACATAGGGCAATGGGCTTTTCAAAGTCTAATTGTGAAAAGCCTTGACTTTGGGAAATTCTCCCTGTAGTGTCCTACTTGCCTGGTGTCCACGGCAATGTTTGCCATCAGACGTTTTAGGAGGGAGATATTTCATTTTTGTTCTTTAGTTTTTTGTTTTATCAGTAATCAGTAATTGCTGCTAAGCATGCGAGTCCTTTCTTGCTGCAGCATTTTATTGCTTTATTGTTTTATAGATTTTTTTAAAGCTTTTATAGTCTTATAGCTTTACACTTTTATTGTTTTATTGTATAAGACTTGCAACAAGGGATCCATACCTTAGCTGACATGAGTGCCCGTAACAACTTCACAACTATGTATCTATCAGCCTCCTTAGATGGTGTGATTTTAACATCCTAGGACACTTTCACCCCATACGGGGGACAGAGACCAACAAGGGATACCACACGATGTTATGTGACTTCCAGCGTAGGTTCCGCCTCCAACCAGGGTAACAGTTTCGCTGGATGCTTCCACTCCAACACATGTTGTTCTAGGTCCAATGCAGCCAACACAGGGCCTCCTAGCAATGGTTTCCCCATTTGATGGGGAAAGTATTGAGGAAAAGGAGATGTGCTTCCACTGCTCTTTCCTTGTGGAAGCCTAGCAAAGTGGGATGCTTCACCGGGGCTTTCTGATGAGGTCTAAGGAGAAAGAGACTCATATGGCTCTCACAACGACAAGCAGTAATGACTTCTATACATATCTAATTACAAAGTGTAAAATCAAGACTCAGCACTTTATGTTTTTAATATGTCATATGTTTTGAATCTGTTCAATTGCCTTATGTGTTTTATTTGCTTATTTATTTCAATTGTTTTATAGTTTGATAGGGCATGCTCTATTGTTATATTGGTTTTATTGTAATGTCTATGGCTGGATTTTATAAGCCACCTTGAGTTCCCTTCAGGATAAGAAAGGCAGGGCATAAATGAAGTAAACAAATAAATAATATCAACATTGCAGCAATGTATCATTTTTTCTACGGTAAATGTAACCGATATATCCCTACTGCCATCAATGCTTTTGAGGCTAGGATTGGTTTTCTGTTACTGTATGGCTCCCCTATTTGGATTTCTGCAATAAATAAATCATTTAGTATACTAAATGTCAAGTTTCTCCAAAACTAATGGGGCTCCCTAGATGAGTGCATTACACCGTGCTATGCACTGAGATGCATCAGACCACTCTTGAAACCTTGGCATGGAGAAGAGCTATAAAATTCTGGCTACCCATACATTTTCAAGCAGACCCCGATAGCTATATTTCCTCTCTGTTATCAGATAATTTTGTTTCAGAATGGTCATCTTTGATTCCCAGAACGATCAAAGCAATTGGCCTGTCTTTGGAAGGACTCTTAAGGCTTACAAATGTGGAAGCCTGCAAGTCAGTCAAGAGCCCCTACCACATTATTAATTCCATGTGAGCATGGAGTCATGGCAGCTTATTTTCCCATTTTGCTTAATCCTATCAAGAGAAGAGCTTTGGCTATTGCAAGATGTAATGTGTTGCTATCAGCTCTTTTGGATGGGAGATATAAAAACATGGAACGTTCTAAAAGGATTTGTTCCTGTGACTTGGTTTCTGTTGAAACACTTCACCATTCATTGTTTGTATAACTAGGAGTGGTTTGTAAGCCGGACGTTTGTAATTGGGGGACTGCCTGTATACCTGTTATGGTATTTGTTGATCTCTTACACAAGGAAGGAGAGTACTGGCTTATTCCCTCTTTTTGTTCTTTGCTCTTTTCCAACACTATAAGAATTGTAGATTGTCTTTTCTTAACCTAGTTATATCAAGGAAACCAACCTTAAAAATGACCCAGAAGAATTGAACAGATTAATAAAAAAGAAATGTGCTGATGTTTTCACGTGGACACCAAAACCGGGAGCGACTTTGGATTTAGCAAGGATTCTCAAAGATCCAACTGACAGTAATCCTGATTACTAGGGCTGGGCGGTTTCGTTTCGTTAATTCGTAATTCGTTAAAAATTCGTTATTTTTTTGATAACGAAGCGATAATGAACCATTCTGGAGCAACTTAAAAACGAAATGAATTTTTAAATTCATTTCGTAAATGCTTCGGATTCGTTATGTATTCGTTTCGTTATCGGTTTGAGGTCGTTTCGTTATTATTTCCGCATGTCTGGGGCAAGTTTAATAGTTGTTTTTTGTTTAATTAGTGAAAAAAAATTATAATATCACACCAACAGTCAACAACAGAGGGAGAGGGAAGCTTCAGAAGTTCCCCCTGTCCCATTTGGAGGTTTTTTAGCGTATTGCGCGGTCGCGTCCGCCATTAACGAATCGATTCGTTATTGTTTCGTATTTGTTTCGTAATTTTTTAATTTACGAAATTTCGTAAATTTCGAACTTTTTTAAAGAAAAATTTCGGAATTCTTTTAAATATTGAAACGCAAAACCCCCCAAAAAACGAATCGATTTTAGAAACAAATTTTTCCGTTGTTACCCAGGCCTACTGATTACTATTACTCTTACTATTATTATCCAGCTAGTCCAATGCTCGGCAGCCAGGTTGCTCACTGGAGCGGGGTACAGGGAGCGCACAATCCCCCTGTTGTGCCAGCTCCACTGGCTGCCTATTTGCTTCCGAGCACAATGTAAAGTGCTGGCTTTAGCCTATAAAGCCCTAAACAGTTCTGGCCCAAACATATCTCTCTCTACGAACAACCCAGGATGTTAAGATAATCCGGTGAGGCCTTGCTCTTGGTTCCACCTGCTTCACAGTTGCGACAGGTGGGAATGAGAGACAGGGCCTTCTCCGTGGTGCCTCCCCCCCGGCTGTGGAACTCGCTCCCCGGTGACATTAGATCCACCCCTTCTCTCCTGACCTTTCGTAAAAAACTCAAATTCTGGCTTTGGGATCAAGCGTTTGTACAATAAATGGATTAACTGGGAAGAGAACATTTGAGTGGACTGCAATGGATTGATTTGTATTATGTTTTGAACTGGCACACTGTTTTAACTGAATGTTTATAACTGTTTTAACTGTTAATTATAATTGTGATTTTTAATGTATTGTTTTGGCATTTAATGGATGCCTGTTGTAAGCCATCCTGAGTCCTTCTTCGGAGGTGAGAAGAACGGGATATACTGCAAATGCTCTAAATAAATAAATAAATAAATAAATAAATAAATAAATAAATACTAGCATTATTATTATTTAAATATTCCCTTGAAATCATAATGTGCGTGCATGCAAACATGTACTTTTACTGATCCTACTGAATTGAGCATGGCTAAAACCGGAGTTGGGAGGTAAGGTAAATGATTTTTTTTTAATCTGAGGGAGAAAGCTCTAAAATGCTTGATTTCCTTAGGATGTCAGAACAAGGAAGTGGAAGCAAGGAAGAACAAGATTCCCTTGCGACATTCGCTGAATCAATCTTTTTCTCCTTTCCTTTCCCATAAAAACAGGTTTCAAAATATCCAGTGAAATAATGTTTGATTTGGTCCAATGAGAAAAGAAACTTGGCTTGGTGACTATGCTTAAGTATAGGAATAAATGAAAAAAAACCCCATGGTCTGCTTTGGTTTTTGATTGCCTTTTGATTTATTAAGTTTTTATGAAATTATAAATTCATTAAAATGTGGTAAACACTTTAAATTGCAGCATAAATGATGCATAATTCAAAATTACAGTACAGACGATAGAAATGCTGCTAGTGACCTAGTAGGAAAAATCTCAGGTTGCTCCCTTTGACAATGTGTAACTTTGTTTTCTCTCTTCTAGTAAAGGAATTATGGATCCTCCTGCAGGGACAAAAGTTTTCAAAGAGTTGTGGGACTTCAAACCATACATTGATTCTCTCAGTGCTGCAATTGATGATGAGATATTTTGCTATCCCTCCTGGATAAAAGAATACTATGTGTGGGCTGGATTTAAAGGCTACAACCTTGTAATAAGAGTAAGTTAGGCAATGCTTACATAGAGCAATTTACTCTGGTGTAAATCTGGACCAAAGCAGCTCTGGATACACACAATCATTCTGAATCTGGGGCTGTTGTCCACATGGACTGGGACTGCATTAGCCCACTAGGCCATCATTTCATTCTCTAGGTTGCCACTGCTACTCCTAGTTGGCCCTTGGTGCAAGTACTTGGCTGTTGCAGCCTTGTCTGGGGCATATTGTGATGACCAAGAAGGAGAGGAAACCAACACCCTCCTTTTTGTTGCTCAGATGGGTGCCCTATTCTCATATTAGCAGATGAAACCTCAGCAGATGCAACCTCAGCAACCAGACACTCACCTGGAGGTCTGTGGATGATGTCAGACCAAGGCACCCATTGAACCAACAAGAAGGAGGGGGTCAATCTCACCTTATTGCTGGTTACATGGGCTCCCCATTCTGACAAAAGCAGGCATGACTGTGAATACCAGGAGATGAAATGGAGCTTCATGGTCAGCAGGAAGGAGCATCAGTGATATGGGAACAAGCTATTCACTTCCCCTGTGATGATCAGTACAGGGAAAGGGTGATAGTGGCAGTTTCCAATCTAAAATCAGTCTAAAATGGATCCAATCAATCTGTCCAGGTTTCTATGAAGCCCTGGGATACTCCAGAGTTTCTAACAAACTCCAGAGTATCTTCTGACTTTGCCCAAAGCAGGGCAAAGTCAGATTAAAAGCCAAAATCCCAGGCTTCTCAGCCAAAGTCATTGTGCATGTGGTACATGCACAGTGGGTCTGTTTCTCAACCTTCCTAATGCCTCAACCCTTTAATACAGTTCCCCATGTTGTGGTGACCCCCAAACATAAAATTATTTTCATTGCTACTTCATAAATGTAATTGAAGTATTGTTATGAATTGTAATAAAATATCTGATATGTAGGATGTATTTTCATTCACTGGATCAAATTTGGCACAAATACCTGATATGCTCAAATCTGAATACTGATGAGTTTGGAGGGGGGGGGTTGTCATTTGGTAGTTGTAGTTGCTGGGATTTATAGATAACCTACAATCAACGAGCATTCTGAACTCCATCAATGATGGAATTGAACCAAACTAGGCACACAGAACTCCCATGACCAACAGAAAATATTGGAAGGGTTTTGTGGGCATTGACCTTGAGTTTTGGAGTTATAGTTCACCTGCATCCAGACAGCACTGTGGACTCAAACAATGATAGATCTGGATCAAACTTGGAATGAATACTGAATATCCCCAAATGTGAACACTGGTAGAGTTTGGGGGAAATAGACCTTGATATTTGGGAGTTGTAGTTGCTGGGATTTATAGTTCACCTACAAACAAAGTGCATTCTGTACCCCACCAATGATAGAATTGGGCTAAACTTCCCACACAGAAGCCCCATGCTTTGAAGGGACTTGCTGGCGTGAGCCTCCCTCCTGCCTTGCATGCTCTCCCTTACCTGCACATGGACACCATGCTGCCATGCGCCAAGCACGCCTGCTCTTCCCTCCCTTTTTGGAGTCTCAGGAACAGTCCTCCCCTTGGCTGAGAGGCCGTCTGAGAGACTGGCCAATCACAGCAGAGGAGGGTTTTTGGTGGGAGGATTTGCCGTCTGTTTTCAAAATGGAAGAAAAGAACAGGCAGAGAGATCTTCAGTCTTCTCTGCCAAAGGTATTTTTAAGACCATCAGAAATAAGTGTTTTCTGATGGTCTTTGGTGACTCCTCTGAAACCCCCTCACAACCCCCCCCTCCCCCAAGAGTCCTGACCCCCAGGTTGAGAAACCTTGTCTTAAAAGTGTAAAACTGCTTCACAGGGCAAGATGTCACAGAATGATAACATTTTACACAAAATTAGCTTATCAAAAGTTTTTTTAAGACAAAATGTTGAACAGAAATACAATGAAAAGAAATGTAGAAAATTGTCATTGAAAGATTGAATGATTGAGAATAAATTACAGCAAACAAAAATAGACTGGTTTTGAGGAGAGGACTGTAAATATTCAGCTTGTTCTTTATCATGTCCAGTATAGTAGAAGCTATACTATGATTTTTTTTTTTACCTTCCTGATGTTTATATTTCATACCTAGGTGATAGAAACTGATGATGATTTCAACCCTTTGCCTGGAGGCTACAACTATTTGGTGGATTTTTTAGACTTAACATTCCCAGCAGAGAGACCAAGCCGTGACTCTCCATATGAAGAGGTAATATATATTTGTAATAATAGTGTATACCTTTTCTACCAAAAAGTTGCCCTGCCAGAGGGATGTAGAGGAAGAGATTAAGGGACCAGTCCTCATGTTTGTAGGGGATGGAAAGATACCTTTTAACACGAATAGAATAATTTAAAAGAAAATCTTCAAATTGGATGGGGAAAGGGTATTTGGAATGTTCTAAATTATTTGCATTTTGGTAGAAGACCGATTATTTCCATATAGGATCTTTGCTGTATGCTAGGAAGCATAGTCCATAGACAAAAACCTGAGAAAATTGATTTCATGGTCTGGACTACCTGTTAAATAGTTTGTGTCAGGAGCAACTTGAGAAAAATGTTCTGGTGTGAGAGAATCTGCAAGGATGTCGCCCAGGTGTTACCATCCTTGTGGGAGGCTTCTCTCATGTCCCCACATGAGGAGCTGGAGCTGATAGAGGGAGCTCATTCACACCCTCCCTGGATTCGAACCTGGAACCTGTTGGATTTAACCCATTGCGCCACCGGGGGCTCCTTGTTAAATAGGTAGCAAAATATTTAGCTTGATGTGGAAAAACTTGAGTTTTATCATCCTTGCTAGCTGTTTGGAAACCTGGATAGAGAATGCCCTAGGAAGAAAGAAAAAATGGGTTTCCAGGTCAAAAATTCCATTCCCAAACAGAAAACACTATTATCCTGTTACCCACAAAATAAACTCTGATGGTCAAAGGCTTTCATGGCCCAAATCACTGATGTGTTGTGTGGTTTCAAGGCTGTATGGCCATGTTTTAGCAGTATTTTTCTCCTGCCATTTTGGCTGCATCAGTGGCTGGCATCTTCATAGGATCTGATGGTAGTAAAGTCGGTGAAGTATATATACCTTTGGAATGTCCAGGGTGAGAGAAATGAACAATTTTCTATTGAACAAGTATAAAGGATGTGATATGCAAGCTAGAGTTGTATGTGTTTAGTGGGATCCACCTATTAGCATGTGAGTAACCTTGAAGATCACATAGTGGACAAATTTGCTGAGAAGTAGCCTGGCCTTTTTTCCCTTTGAAGAGCTAGTGAACACCATCCGACAAAGGATGTCCTTAGGCAGCAAACAATTCAAATGGAACAATGGCCAGGCTTCTTCTATGCAGATGCCCTCACTAATTGACTATGCTATCTTCATGATTGCTCACATACAAATCTAGCTTGCTCATTGTACCCTTTACACTTGTTCAACAGACAGGCGAAATGTCAGGAGAAAAATGCTCCTAGAACACAGCCATATAGCCCGGAAACCACACAATCACCCAAAATAAACTCTAATCCTAAAAAACAAGGACATCCTGTTTTTGAAAACAGTAAAGTTTGACCATTCCCAACTGAGCAATTTGTTTTAATTGTACATCTGGCTAAAAAGACACCTTTTAACACTGAAAGGACTTTCAACACCAGTTTGTGATACAGACAAAATAGAGCAAAAACCTTATCATTGGGTCCCAGCTGTTTTTAGTGAATTCATTGTTTTACTTTGTTTTACTACAGATCAAAGCCCGAGTCAGTGTCATGAGACATGTAGTGAAGCATGGATTGCTCTGGGATGACCTCTATATAGGATTCCAAACTCGGCTACAACGTGACCCTGACATATATCACCATCAGTAAGCTCCTTATTTAAATTGTTGATTTGTAAAGTGCTGGTTGTCATAATACCTAATTTTCTTTCTAAATTTCTCCAGAAAATACACCTCTGTGTATAAATCACTAAGCTGGTGCTTCTTAACATAGATCCATTTGCAATAATAATCCCATTCCAAAGCATGCTTTTGACTTCAACTTACACAGGCTTCTATTTTGTGGATTTGATTATTTGCAGATTGGTAGCTGCCTCCGACTCTCCAAGCTTGCCCAATTCCACTTTCTAGGACAACAACACTCCTATACAAATCTCCTGCAGTGTTGTCATTTTTATTTTCACCTTCCCTTTCCCCTCCATCTTCTTTGCTGCCAACAATCCCCTCCGGTTGATAGTGCTTGTAGTCCACCAATAACTGGCTCTGCTTGCTCCTCACATGTCCGGCTTACTTTGTTTGCCTTGATCTGTCAATGCATGTTCCTGTAGCCATCCACCACAGCTCATAAGCTGCACAACCCTCTGCCACTTCTGCACCACCAATGATGTTAAATCAGTGGCTCCCACCAGGGGCTCCTAAAAACATCAAATCATCCGGGCGTCCCCTGGGCAGCGTCCTTGCAGATGGCCAATTCTCTCACACCAGAAGCGACTTGCAGTTTCTCAAGTCACTCCTGACACAACAAAAAAAAAGTGGCTCCCAACCTTTTTTTTTGACCAGGGACCACTTGAACAGGGACCACTCCAACATTAGTATCAAAATGGTTACAAATGAGTTTCTGGTCAACTTTAGATTCGGTTTGGTTATTTGGGGAGCTGATTCAGAACATTGCATTGGGTAGAGCACATCAGCTCTAGTTTCTGATAAAAGAACATATGCCATCCTGTAGTTGCCATCTGCTCACCCACAGAAAACCATATTTAATAATCTAGAGCTGATGTGGCGGTAGTGGGTAGTCAGCCTCTCCCCTCCTGACATCCCCGATGCCTCAGCACTATAAGAAGGTTTCGCGAGACCAGTTGCTCTTGTTGCCATGTAGTTTCAAGGCAATGGAGTAGTAATAGTGAGGCGAAGACCATATTTTTGTTCTTACAGACCATTGGTGATCCACAAACCACAGGTTGGGAACCACTGTGTTAAATCAAGGCCAACTAGAAGAAGACGGATGGAGCGAGTGAGGAAGAAGACAAAGAGGAACTGATATTGCTGCTTCTGCAACATCTCTCTTCCTTTCCCATGTGTCCCCACTTCTCTTTCTCTAGTTAACCTCAGTTTAATAACCTTGTAGAGTGAGGAAGTGAACATGAAGGTGAAGGGTCACTTGATGTTGCTGTTTCTGGGATCTCCTTAGCTTTGCTCACCCTTCCCACCTACCCCCACCCCCCATCACTCTCAGTTCAGAACAACATATGTACAATGTGATCAATTGCATCAACACACACAATGTCCTTTTATGAGAGATTTAAAATGGTCTTTCTCTGTCCATGTGGATAAACTCCTTCAGCAGCTCATGAAACGAGAGTACTCTTCAAACACAGTCTCTCTCTCTGCTTCACTCTGCTTCTCTCTCTGCACCTGCATAGCTCAAACGTGAACAAAAATGTAACAGTATCCAAAAGTCCCAGGCTCAGTCTGCTCCGCAGGCATTGCCCAACCAATCAGTTTCATGCATCTTATTTTACAGTTGACACACATTAACTGATTTCTTACATGCGCCAACAGATGTGCCCTCCAAGTGTGGTGATTTTCATCCCACTAGCCTTAAAAATGACAAGAAGGGGAGGCTGGGAAGCCCACCCATTGCCACCAATGGGACAAAAATATCGGGTTTTTCATCAGCGGAGCAAAAATGCCCATTCTGCAGTGTGCCCATTTTTGGAGGTGCACCAAAATGGATATGGGGGGCTTCCATTATACAACAAGCAGAAACAGATAGCAATTCAGCCGAAATGCACAAGCCTAGTACCGAACTGTATTAGTGATTTAAAAGTATACATGTACTCTCAGTGAGAGAAAGGGTCTTCATTCTCTTCCTTGGCTGAGAGAAGAGCAAGAAGCCTGGCTGTGTGGAATGTTCCCCTCTTTTGCTGGAGGAAGGTGAGAAGGAAATGGAGAAGGGGAACCTGTCAGTGCAGGCTTGTTTCTGCCTTCACTGCTGCCATAGGACTGCCTCTTGTCTTGGTAGGATTTATTTAGTCTTGGTTTTTCCACCTTTGTAGGGATCCTGCACCTCTAGCTTCCATGAAAGTGTAGGGGAGACTGTATCTGAATGTTATTGTGACTAAAAACCTGCATTGCAACATTTTTTGTAATCAATCATAACAATTCATAACAATTATTTTAAAAATGCAAAAGGAGCCAAATCTCTTAAAAGTATAGCATATGGGGGGAAATGGTTGATCATCCATCACTTCCAAAACCTTGCCGTCTTGTTCTGTATGAAGCAGGCCTTTTCCTTTCGTTTTTCTTCTGATTTTTTTTTGTCTTTTGAAAACACTTATCTTCTATGTTTTCAGCAGAAGACAATATACCCAATTCTGGGGCTACTCAGGGAAAGATGCAAATTTCCTTACTAAATTTCCCAGTGGTATATAAATGCATTATCTCAAACTTTTCTTTTCAAAACAATATAAATGTACAAAACAACAGCAGCCTTATTAATCCAAGTTGCATCTAGCCATTGCCGTCCTTCTATGCTTAACCATATTTCATTTCTTATATATTTTAAAGGTTTTGGAACCATTTCCAAATAAAACTACCTCTGACGCCACCTGATTGGAAGTCTTTCTTGGCACAGCTCAAGAGTATCTGAAATAGAAATGAAAAGGCACTCACTTTACAGCTGTTAAGTGACATGGCTGATAAAAATGTCATTGTATAAATGCTTGATTTTACTGCTTGAGACAGTATAATAAATTTTTATATGCATATTATTTATATGTGAATATATTCTGACATAATGATGGAATAATTGTTGCCTCCTCCAATCATAACAGTTTAAAATACAGAAAAAGAGAGGAAACATAAATAATGTCACCAGTGAACATTGTAGATGTCTGCTGCACCCTCTAATGGTTGTATTTGTTCTTGATACATGTTTTCAAGTCATTTCTGACCCATTGTGACACTAAGACCAACCTATCACAGAGTTTTCTTGGGCTGAGAGTGTGAAGACGGAATTTCAGCTGGTGCTGCTTTTTACTTGGTTACATGAGTGAAGCCCCTCCAATTTTCATTGTGTCAATCCCCTTCAATTTTCGGGTTTTCTAGTACTGTCTGTACTGATGAGTTCTATATCTAATTACAAAAAACCAAACAGATTACATGTCCATTTCTCTGTGCTTCCTTTTTTTTGTCATACTGAAAATTATAGGTAGCTGTCTTTGTTCATAGGAAGAAATACAATGTAATAAAGCTTATCTGTTTCATTACTTTCTTTAAAAATGTCTATTGATTAGTCTACTTTTATCAACAATAAAAGACAAAATAAAAGACAAAAGACAAAAATACACAGCCAAACACAAATCGCTATGGGTTGCAATGCATTTTCTGGGCTTTATAGCCATGTTCCACAAGCATCCTCTATACAATATCCTAGAATACTTGTAGGGTATCAGAACAAACACAAAACAATCTATGTAATGAGAAAGTATAATATCAAAAGAGCATATAGTATGCAATTTACCAAAATCTCCAGTACATAGCTCAGTTCAGTGGCATAAAGCAAAATCAAAAGGAGCAGCCGCTCTCAAACTTAACAGTTCTATGTCTGAATAAGGGTTCCACTATATATAGGCTTCAGGGATACATTCAATAAGAAAATTATTTAAATAAAGTAAGTATTGAGTCATGAGGCTATATGTAGACTGAAGACAATAATGAAGATGGAGCACCACTCTCAAAAAATCTTCATGGATAAAATTCAAATCAAGTCCAGTGAAAATGGAGCACTGCTTCTCAAAAAAAGTCTCTGAAGGAAAAGTCCAAATAGCATTCGATATAATCAGCAACTCTAGACTCATATCTGCAACAAAACATAACATAACATAGAGTAACAAGTATTTTACAGCAAAATTACAGAAGTAAAGATAATCCATACATCAAACATATACTCACATAGTGCTGCTTTCCTGAAAGAAAAAAATTTAACACTTCAGAATTCTGTTTTGAAAGTGATCTACAATTTGACATTTAGTAACCAACATGTTATTTTTTAAAATTGCTATTCAAAATATGTTTAGACCTATGCGCCCCAAAAGCTACACTTTGAGTGACCCCTCTATAACACCCAGATCAGCAAATCTACTTCAAACTATGCCATCTGATTGAGGTTTACCAGTTAGCTGAAAATCATGGTTTTTCAGTTTGTCAAGAAGCACACTGTTGCAATCTAGCCTTGAGACACCTTTTCACCAGAGTCCAGTAGTACTAACTACAGAAGTTTATTAAGAAAAACATGTACAAAGGAGAACGGGGACATTTCCCAAAAGAGCAGCATAGTAGGAAATACAAAATAGCAACAGACCATAAAAGGCAAAGTGCACGAAGTTCTAGATCAAGAGAGTCAAAAACACAGGCATAAATCCATGAGCATGAAAACAAGAACTGTTTCCAAAGCAAACCCTTCCAGGAACATAAGCAACCACAGGAAACTTGGATCATGAACTTGAAAGCTGAGACAGGAACCCAAACCTTATGGCGACATCTTGTCTGAGAGACACCAAGCAAACATCACTTAATTTAAACCCAAGCCCAACCAAGATGCCATGAGATCATGGTGAATGCACCTGGGCTTCAAGAACTTCTCACAGAGTCTCTCAGAATGCCTAATTAATCTATCTTTCACTCCTTCGGTCTGGAGACCAAATCCTGAGAAAACTCCCCATTGGCTGAAGGCTGTTTCCCAAGAAAAATGGACTTTTCACTGGTTTCCCTTTCCCATTACCAAGAAACAAACATTGGAATCCAAAACATCCTCTGCTTCGTCTTCATCCTCCTGTAATTCTCTCCAGTCTAAGGTCTGTAATTCTTCCCAATCACACACACTTCTCATTTTTAAACCCATCATCCCCCTAATTCTCTGAGAAATACCCACCCGCTTGCTGACCACAACACACAGCATCATGTCAAAAGACAGTGTGCCTAAATTGAGCCAAAGTTTTCACATGTTTCACTACAAGAGCATCATAATGCCTTAGGGCTCATTATCCAGTTTAGGTTGCAAGGTACTAAGGACTATTGGGATGTGCTATACGGGACTAATCATAATGATAGTTAAAATCTCAGATTTTCTTCCTTTGCAGAGCTATATCAATAAAAGTATCAACAGTAGTAAATAAAAGCACTTGAGTTTTTGGGGTTCCCTAAACTGTATAAGAGTTTATCTTTCTTCTTTCCCATGTTGTATTGCAGTCTGCATTGTTATTATCAAAAGCAATTTAGTTCCACATGTTGATCATAAGGTCCCCACAAGCAGAATCATCCTCACAATACTGTTGTGCCTGAAATATTATATATTCATATCTAAACAAATCATTTTGATTGTAACCAACTGCTGAGTGGTTCCCAGTTCTACACTTCAATCGTGTTCTCAAAATATTCCTAGCTTTATTCTGTTTCATTAAATATATACAAAGGAAGATGACTAATGGCTGAGTGATTCCTAGTTATATATCATTTAATCATATTGTTAATTTTATTCTATTATTAAATATATCCTAAAGAAAGTATAAAGCAAAGAAGGAAAACTGATGTTTTATGCAGAATTGACAGTATCTCTTAATTTCTGCCTTAAAGAAATTTAGAGGAGTGGGAGATATAGCATTTAAAACAACAGAAATAACCCCACAGGGTATTAGTCTGCAATTAGTTTTATTAACTTACTAAGAAACTGCAGAGGAAGAAAGCAGGCTTACAGAAAACTGCAAGTTCTGTCCCTCCTCCAGGAAACTATTGTATTTCTATAACAGGGGGACATATGGCAGGCTTTCTTGTTTGTATCACAGTCAGCTCTCCACATTTATGTATTTAATGTTTGTGGATTTGATTATTCACATATTAATTTAACATGTTCTCTCTAGGGATTTCTAGTTCCTCCAGCATGACTCTGGACATTATCACATGAGGCTAGAAATGGAGGTGGTGTTGCAAACCCATCTTAGGTTTTAGTTATATGGTCTGGGGCCGGCGTACCTGACAGCCCGCTTATCCCCCTACCAACCCCAGAGATTACTTCGGTCCGAAGACCAAAATTTGCTTGAAGTCCCCAACATCCGGACTTACCATCTGTCCTCTACTAGGCAGAGAGGCTTCTCAATTGAGGCCCCTTATTTATGGAATGCCTTGCCAGTTGAAACCCGAACCATCTGAGAGCTACTTGCTTTTTGGAAAGCCTGTAAAACCTTTCTTTTCCAACAAGCTTTCAATGGGTGAATAACTCGGGACTATGTCTGTTCTCGTTTTTACTGTATTTTAAAGTTGGTTGTATTGTTTTAATCTACTGTTGTAAACCGCTCTGAGCCAAATTGGGAGTGGCGGTATACAAGTCAAATAAATAAAAATAAAATAATAATAGTTGTAGCAAGCCAGGATAGGCACTATTCTTATTGCACCAGTCAGATCCTCTATCGCTGGAAGAAACTAGCAAGCGTGTTTAGCTTATCTCAACTGCTGGGACTAGTCTCCTCCCAATCCATGCATTGCCCATTTTTCCATGTCCCTCTTTTTTCCACACAGCATTTTACTGAGAGGCAAAGTCTGACATTGTGTTCCTTTATATTATTTATATTAGATTATATTATGATATTATACAGCTTTATTACATAATCATTTAAAAAATTAATGCAAGTGCTGTAATAACACCCCTCATGCCATTCAAAATCTTTAACTGACTGTCCTTGCAGAAGATAAATTTTGGCCTCTGCCGAGACCTAAAATAGTGGCAACCAGTGTTGAAAATTACAACCTTCTTCAAGCCTCCCCTAGTAAGTTGCTTACTTACTTTATGTATGTACTGATATGCAGCTTTCTTTCCTTTGCTCTGAGAAGTTGTGGGAGGGGCTGCAGACCACATGATCAGCTCTGAGACTGCTCAGACCTCTGACTCCATTTTAGACATCAGACTCCATTAGACTTTGGAATTGCTCAGACCAACATTTGCCTGCTGTTAATTGTAAGAGAGATGCCCTGTGCCATCTGCACACAGAGATTATCCCAAACGTATCTGTAACTGGACTGATAAGTTGTGTACCTGTGTATGCTGAACACATGAAGTTGTGAGTAAACCAAATACGTTATTTTTAACAAAGTCTACCTGGAGCCCCCAGTGGCGCAATGGGTTAAACCCTTGTGCCAGAAGGACTGAAGACCAACAGATGGCAGGTTTGAATCTGGGGAGAGCATGGATGAGCTCCCTCTGTTAGCTCCAGCTCCCCATGCGGGGACACGAGAGAAGACTCCCACAAGGATGGTAAAACATCAAAGATATCCGGGTGTCCCCTGGACAACATCCTTGCAGACAGCCAATTCTCTCATACCAGAAGCGACTTGCAGTTTCTTGAGTCACTCCTTCATTTTTGTCTCTTGGGTGTATGATACAAATCAAGTTGTTTTATGGGAAGGCAGATATATTTTTGGGCACTGAAAAACACTATTGAAGCTTTGCTATTTTGTGCACTGCAAAATCTCTGTTTCCTAACAGGACAGAGACAACAGGTATTCAGTCTAACAACTGAAAGCCAATTTGCCTTTCATAATTATATCTGGTTTTATACCACAAGAGAACATTCTACTCAAATGGGTTTTTGGCTCTTTTCTGAAAGGTCACGCTTTTCCAAAAGAGTATCATTTTCTAAAAGCCAGACTGAAGCTGTGGCCCAGTTTGAATGATGCAACATGCAAGGGAACTGCAGGTGTTCTGACTTTTCAGAAACAGCCACAGCATGATGATGCAGGCATCTTAATTGTTCCCTCGTGGAGCAAAAGTGCACAGACACTTTCATTCCTCAGCTTGCTTTATAGTAAAGGAGAGAATGAATCAGGCAATCTTTCTATTCCTTGAACCCAGTTCAGTGAAGCCAGACAGAAGAAAATGCCTACAAAGCTCTGCTAGTAAGTTAGCTGTTGGGAGCAATCAGTCTGCTCAATGTAGCAAAGTCATCAAAGAAACAGGAGTCTTGAAGTTCTTTGGTTTATCATATAATGTGGCTGCACTTTAGCTAGACAGTGTTTCCTCCCCAACAAAAGAAATAGCGATTAAATTCTAGACAAATCAAAACTGTCACGTTAATGGCAAGTTCAAAACAACAGTGCAATTCCAGATCAAACTACGATATGATACTGTACTTCTAACATCTATTTAAGTGCTCCCTATTTAAGTGCTCC